AAAGATTTTTGTCTAATAAAACGATTGATCTGTCTTTTTGGCTCCCATGTCTGTTTATGTCACTAGAACCCTTTTAAACGAGCATTTTGAAAGTAGGGTTCGTAACATAAATGGGGGTTCATAAATGTGTTCTGAAAAGTCAGCTGTGATTAATTAAGGGATGTGATTGTGTAGAGCAGATCTGGTTTGTCCTATACGCACTTTCCGGGTTAGAGTAAGCCAGCAGGACTGTGCTTTGCACCAGTTCTGGCTACAGTTTACTGTTTATTGTTTTTGGAGGTATTCCGGGGGTGAGAGCAATATCTTAATCGGTACCCTCATATTTTATTACCATTTTCTAAACTATAGCGAATAAACTGTGATAATGTGAGAAATGTTGACGGAGTCTGAATACATTTTGTTTTGACTATCTATTTGATAAATGAAGTTAACCAACTAACATTATACATACTCTTTTGGTTTCTATACCCAATATTTAAAAAATTTACAAATGCAATAAAAAATATCGGTATCGGTACTCTGTATGGGCAAGTACCAAAAATAAAAGTATCAGTATCGGGCGGGTACAGGAAAAAGTGGTATCGGTGCATCCATAGCGCGAACCATAGTCTTTTTGACACGATCGACTCGGGTTCGAATCCGCCTTTTGCCAAACTTTTTTTTCTCCCTTTTCAAATCTCAAATCACATCGGAAAGGCATTCATTTTCAATAAAAATGAAGGAAATAATCAAAAAGTTGAAAATAAAGTATTGGGTAGGGTTAGGGTAGGTGTAGGCTTTATTGTCCCAATAAGGTGGCATCCATTTAATAATTTGAATTAAAATGATCATTTACACCCAATATGTTATTATTGCATACAGTTTTATAATCTACTATAATACTGAGGTGCAGATAATTGCCACTATTCGCAATTAGTAGTATAGTCATGGCCAAAATTTTGGCAGTGACATAAATTTTGTGATTTGCAAAGTTTTTTGCTTAAGCTGTTGTAGTGTTCATTCACATTGTTTCTAGATTATAGTGTAGAGTGATCAGATGCATTTTAAATAATTGTTAAAAGCTTCATTGGCCAAAAAAAGTTTTCACTGTTTTTTGATCCTGACACAAAATGACCAGCTAACATTAATAGACTAATCATATCAGCAGCACATGTGAAATTGTGAATGAGTACTAGTCAGGTGAAATCACTATCATACTAATTAGATTGTAAGAGCAGACTAATGGAGGGAAGGTCTTCCAATCATTGTGTTCTTGTTAGCAATGGTTACCTCCAAAGAAACACGTGCAGCCATCATCGCTTTGCATCAAAATGGCCTCACATGTAAGGAAATTGCTAAAAAGAATATTGCATCTGAAAGACCTATTTACCGGATCATCAAGAACTTCAAGGAGAGAGGTTCGACTGCAGTGAAGAAGTCTTCAGGACGTCCCAGAGTGTCCAGCAAGGCACCAGGACATCTCCTCCTGAGGAGTCAGCTACGGAATCGTGTCACCAGCAGTGCAGAGCTTGCTCAGTAATGGCAGCAGGTTGGTGTGAGAGCATCTGCACGCACAGTGAGGCCAAGACTTTTGGACAACGGCCTGGTGTCAAGAAGGGCAGCAAAGAAGCCACTTCTCTCTAAAGAAATGCGTCAAGGACAGACTGAAATTCTGCAGGAAGTACAAGGAATGGACAGCAGAAAACTGGTGCAAAGTTATTTTCTCTGATGAATTTCCCTTCCCTTCTGTTTGGGACATCTGGAAAATCGATTGTTCGGAGAAGAAAAGCAAAGCAAGAGTGATAAAGAAGTGGCTTGAAGATCATTACATTGAAATTTTGGATCCGTGGCCAGGCAACTCCCCGGATCTCAATCCCATAGAGAACCTGTGGTCAGTCCTCAAAAGGCGAGTGGACAAGCAGAAGCCCACAAAGTGTGATCAACTCCGAGAACTAATAAGGCAAGAATGGATCGCCATCAGTCAGGATTTGGCCCAAAAGCTAATATCCAGCATGCCAGAGCGAAATGTAGAGGTTATGAAGAACAAGGGTCAACACTGTAAATGTTGACTCATTATATTATTTTGCCAATAAACGCCTTTAAAACTTATGATATGCTTGTCATTGTTTTTCAGTATACCATAGAAACAAGCAGCAAACTTTGCAAAACACAAAATTTATGTCACTGCCAAAACCTTTGGAGTGGGGGGAAGGGAAGGGAAGGGAAGGGAAGGGGGGAGGTAAACAGCAACAAGGGCCAAATGATAAGGTGTAAATTATGCTCATCAGCATTCTAGGTTGAAAAAGCCCATTCTATTTTTCAGAAAGCCAGTTTGATCTGGGTGAATGATGTCTTGTATAAGTGACTTTAAAGGAAGAACATTGGCCAAAATTTTCAGATAAACGTTAAGGAGGGAATTTGGATGAAAAGACAAATACTGTTTGTGTGAACAAGAACAAAAAGTTCCTACAGGCTTTAACAAAGTTTAAAGGGGAGAGCTAAGTGGTTTCCCTGAAGATGTCATAGAGATGTTGCCGCTTTTGCTATCCTGTTATGAGAAGAAAGATGCAATGTTCTGTTATGTAGAGGACATATTGCACACTTGAATTACGAGACCGTAGATAAGTGTGATGTGGAACGGATTTGAATTTATTAAAGAACAAAAGAATATGATGGAGCACAAACATCTCTCACACTCGCCGACTCGATTCTTTTCTCAGGACCTGCTGTGTGTGCATGGAAATGTAATACTTGACAACCCCCTCCCTCATTTCTGCTCTGTGCATTATGTTTGGGAGCTATCATTGCTTCAACAGCCATCAAAGACTGTTTTATTCTTTCCCAAGGCGTTTTTTCTCTATCAATTTAGAGAAGAGCACCGAAGTAGAGAAGACAAACAGCCTGCCTTCTCGTGAACGCAAGAGTCCTAACCTTGATTCAGGAGCTTTCTAATCATGAGTGGCATGAGGTCTGATTATGGACTGAAGTCAATAAGATTTCTGCTTTGTTTCCTTCAGTCTCTTTGCATCGTTCCTCCTTCAGTTCCACTAAGATGATCATTAATCTGTCACATGCTCTCTATTGTATTATTTGTAAAGAAAAGTACATATTACAAATTTGTGTTGAGATATGGCAGATGTTTTTGAAGACTTTTTTGAGGTTAATAAATTCTTGAAAAGGCAAATTATTATTGGATATTTATGACTTTCAGTATAGTATCTCTTAAGGCATCTCTCTCTGGTCACATACACACTGCAAGTTTCAGGAGTGACAACCGCATTTAAATGCAGGAGTGAGTCCTGTAAATGATCGTTCCATGTGTGTACAGAACACGACTCAGTCCCGAAACTGGCAGCATGGTAACCATAGCAACAATGTGGCATCTCGGAGAGAATGGAGGTCCGCAGATTGGCTCGTTTTGTGTTAGCTGCTGTTGACAAAACAAACAGACTGCAAAGACATGAGAAAATCCACAAAACGCTATTAAATCGCCATCGGAAGAGGCGTCTTAATCTAGTTTTGTTCTTTAAACGGTTATTGAACAGCCTACCCACACTCTCTTGACCGCAATGTCTGGGTTGCTCCGAGACCACAGGGCTGGTGGGAGCAGCTGCGGTGCAGGGAGACAGACTGGGTCCAAAACCTAAGAATAGGCAAAAACACATACCTGCATCTCTGCCATTTACTTACTCCGCACCTTCTAAATACACCATCCGCAGACATTTTTTGGGCTATTTCTTCAAAAACCAATTTATTCCTTTTCATGCTGTCCATTTGTTAATGAATACCTTTGTCGGCCAATACTGCAATCAATAATTTTGTCTCCTGGTCGATCCACAATACACCTCTCCTCGCCATCCTGTCAGAGCTGAGGTAAACACTTGACACCTGACAATACTTGCACATTGGCGTGCTTCTCGTGACATCGTTAACAACTAGTTGTTCAGTTTGGTTCCATACACACTGCATAGAATTTCTGTAAAGGCAGTTGTCACTACCTGTATTTTTCGGGAGTTAATGCGGTTGTCACTCCCGTATTTGAGTGAATTATATGTGTACAGAACGCGATTTAGGAGTAAAAGGTGAACTGACAACCGAATTTAGCTGTATTGTGTACCAATGTTTACCAAAAAGTCTAATGTTAAAGGCAGAGTAAGTGATTTTTCAAAAACACTTTAGAAAACTGATTCGGGTCGAATTGCAAAACAAACTTGTAGCCAATCAGCAACAAGGGGCGTGTCTACTCATGATGTGGAGGAGAACGCGTTCAGTGCATGGGACGGACATTAGATAGAGATGGCGGATAAAAAACAAAAGAGGAAAACGTCTGCGGAACGATAAGGCAAGAAGTAGGACCCGTGTAAATAACGAATCAGCTTTCCAGCGCTGGAGAGAACTCAAGGAGCGGAGGCCTGCGATCGGACGCCGAGGTTGCTTTGTTTCTTCTCAATAGGTGAGTAACACAGTGTCTACAACAGCTAAAGTCTACCTACACTGGACGCGATCAAACGACCGTTGAAAACCATTTGAAAGTTGTGTCAGCACGTCATAAATAGAACCCGGCAGCAGTTTTCTGTCGGGGATTTGTTGCGCCGGGCCGCTCACATCCGTAGACACGGTGTAACATTGGTTTTGCTTTGTTTCACAGAACTAATCATTGCCTGGGTTGCGTACGTATATGTGGGGCGGAGCTATCAAAATAGGGGCAAGACCCTTTTGGGGTAGGGGCGTGTTTGTTTTGGTGATTTCAAATATCAACATTGGCTACCAGAAATCACTTACTCTGCCTTTAACTTACACAGTGAAAAAAAAAATTTTTTTTCAGTTGTTCATTTTAAATGCACACTAGATGAGAAGTGTCATACCACACCAGATGTGTTACAATTAAACTTTACACACTACATGTTGATAATACTGTAAAAAAAAAAACCCTGCAAAATTACCTGTAATGACAGAAATATGTTGTACTTGTTACAGTATTCGAACGGAATCAAAAATGTAGTAAATTCGTTGGTCTCACATCTGGATGACTTTTAAGGTGTATCTATAGGTGATGACAAAATCTGCATGATATTGTTATTACACTGAATCAAATTAATTGGCCTTTCTCCAAAATGCAGGCGATTTCTGAAACTGCTGTATTTAAAACCTCTTGCCACGCTGTTGAACACTACAATTTCTTTCCAGAATGAGTTTGCAAATGACATTTCAGGTCTCTTTGATATGTGAAACTCTTTTCACACTGAAGACATTTGAAAGGCTTCTCTCCAGTGTGAAGCCTCATGTGAATGTTAAGGTTTCCTTTATGTGTGAAACCTTTTCCACATTGAGGGCAGGTGAAAGGCTTCTCTCCAGTGTGAGCTCTAATGTGAATCTCAAGGATTGACTTGCTTATGCAAGCTTTTCCACAGTGATGGCACATGAAAGGCTTCTCTCTGATGTGAGTATTTACATGATTCTTAAGGTCATTCCTGTCTGTGAAACTCATTCCACAATGGTGACATGTAAAACCGTTCTCTCTCGAGTGAATCCTCATATGCTGATTAAGGTTAACTTTACATCGGAAACTCTTTCCACACTGACCACATACGAACGGCTTCTCTCCAATGTGAATTCTCATGTGAGTCTTAAGACATTCTTTTCGTGAGTAGCTCTTCCCACACAGTTTGCAGGTAAAAGGTTTCTCTCCAGTGTGAATTCTCATGTGGGCATTACGGTTTCCTTTATGCGCAAAACTCTGTCCACAGTGTTGGCATGTATAAGGCTTCTCTCCAGTGTGAATTCTCATGTGGGCTTTAAGGTTTTCTTTACGTGTAAAACTCTGTCCACAATGATGGCAAGTGAAAGAACCGTTAGACATGGTTTTCTGAGCCCTTTTTTGTGAGGAAGTCTTTTCATTTTGATTGGATTTCTCTCCAGTCACGAAATCATGATGTTTCTTGTATTGATTTTTTTCTTCCATTTCATTCAGTTCTTGACTCTCCATTTTCAGCACCAACAGGTCTGAAGTGAAAAAAGACAAATACAAGTTAACACAAGATTAATGGCACAAAGGAGCAGACACCAAAACCAACCTGAAAGCATTAAAGGAATGGTTCACCCAAAAATGAAAACTCTGTCATCATTTACTCACCCTCAAGTTGTTCCAAATCTGCATGAAAGTATTTTTTTTCTACGGAACACAAAATAAGATATTTGGTGAAGTGTTCGCAACAGTTGACTGTAGCCATTGACTTCAAAAAGTATTTTTTTTCAGTACACAAGTGGAAGGTGAGTAAATGATGACAGCATTTTCATTCATGGGTGGACTATCATTTTAAAGTATCAAAGCCAACATGTATGCTAGATCCAATACCCACTAAGCCAGTGTTTCCCAACCTTTTTTTAGTCACGGCACACTTTGGAAATTTTAACAAACTTGTGGCACCCTACAAAATTAATTTGTCACACTATTTGAATTTCTAACTTCGATATGATAATTTGAAAAGTATAGATATTCGGTACAACAGGGAAGAACTGCAGAATATAATGTCATACAGATATTTTTAATATTACAAATGTTTGTCCATCAATGGTGGCAATCAGTAGGCTAATCTCTAATGAAGAGACCAATTTATGACAGATTTTAATGTAGGCTTTTATACATATGTAAACATTATTTAATTACCATTATAGCTAGCTATCTCACAAATTTTTGCTCATTCAATATTTTTTTTAACTTTACAGTGGGGTAATTTTGGTGCAGTAGCACGAGATGGCTTGATTTCAAACTTTGAAATGAATAAAAAATGACAAGTAAGCAGTCAGTAATAAAATAAGAACAAATAAAGAAATTAATAATGATAGCACAAATAAAAAAATAACGACAGGCCTTCGAATTAAATAAATTGCTTTTTAGTTTTTCAGGTAGGTCTAACAGTAGGGTTAAGATATTAAAATTTTTTTTACCAATTATCCAAATAATGTTTAGTCCTAGAAAGCTATTATTATCAGAACATGTGAGCATAACATAGCGGTTAGCAGATCAATGAATGAGAGGGCAGCGTTACCGGAGTTGCTCATATACCACACCATGTTACAGCACAGTAGGGCTTATTGCAGACAGAAACAATACTGTACTACATCGATGTTTCCCGTCAGCTCAATTTTTGAGTGGACTTTGCTGTTCCGATGAGCATGAACGGTATACGAGTGGAGCGACTGAGCGGAGCACACACACGCAAAAAGCGAATAATACGCAGAGCGTCACACCACATGAAAGTGAAACCTGAGCGGTGAACTAATTTTCGGCAGCCGAACTTTCGGTGCATCTCTAATTATTGGTGACATCAGAAATGGATATTATATAATAGATGCTTTTTTGAACATTTTAGCAATTTAAAAATATTAAAAAAGGTTTTTTTTACACTGCACCCCTGCTCTCGACAGACGGCACGTGGCACCCCGGTTGGGAAACTACTGAAGTTACTTATTATCTCAGAATCTCTTCACAATATTCAATAGTTTCTTTAGGACACATCTAAAAAAAATAAAAATAAATACAAAAAAAAACCTCTTCAGTCCAAGTAAGCTTGCAGTTATCAAACCCCTAATCCCTTATTATAGACCAATTTCAAATGTACCATTCATGTCTAAAATAGTGTCCTCTCAACTATGTTCAGTTTTGTAGAGAAACGATACTGCAGTCAGGATTTCAGCACAGAATCCTTCCTTATTACAGTGACATCTTTCTTCTAGTGCTATTAGTTCTTTTTCCACCATAGACCACAAGATTATTTTAGATAAGTATGGAGTCCCACAGGGCTTAGTATTAGATCCTCTGCTTTTCTCCTTTGATACATTTTTACTGTTATGACAATTATAATTTTACATTTCCACACAACCTGAAAACAACCTGCACAACTCTACAAGTTAGCAGAGTGTGATTATATAACATGGGAGGGCTAGTAATTTTCTCGACTCCACAAATAATGTAATGTACTGTGAGGATTGCAGAAAATATGCCTTGGAAAAGCACAAATCCAATAATTTTGTTATTGGAACTGACAACTTTACGGTGGAGGCTGTTAAAGACCACAAACATTCTAAGAGTCACCTCCAGTGCTTAACAACAAAACAAGCAAAAGGCAACCGTTTTGGAATACAGCATTGCTGTCAAGAGCTTGGTATTAGTGACGTCAACACTATCCGACTGTCTGAAACTTCTCTTCAGAAACATTCTTACTGTGGTGAAAAAAGAGACCCTTATTTTGGATTATCAATGGATATGCAGGTAAGTAATACTGTTGTTGTTTTATTGTGCTTCTTTACAGAATACTAGCTATATATATATATATATATATATATATATACATACTCTTTTTGATAAATTGTCAGCCAAGTAAGATTAGCTAATGTAAGAATTTATTCCCACAACTTATTAATTTGTTCCATCATTTAATTCATGGTCACACACTAATTTGTTCCTTAGTTTTAACTAAACAAGGGAAAAAATTATGAAACATGGACTGTGGCCACAAACTAAGCTTGTGGAACAATGTTTCCTTACCAAGTAAGGAGCCATGTTTTGCACATAAGCTGCACACACCCCAAAACTACTCACTCCAATAATGACCTTGACCAACAATAAGTTTTATCGATTACATTATTTAATGTCATTATATATATATATATATATATATATATATATATATATATATATATATATCTTTTTTTCTTCTGTGGAACACAATCGGATTACAAATAAATAATTCATATCTGTCCATATAATGCAAACTAATGGTTCCCTCCAATCTGATGTTTCAAAAAACAATGAAACTGAAAACAGCTATGCATTCCATACAACCCCATCTGATTAATCGGTGTCTTCTGAAGTGAAATTTAAGCTATTTTAATAGCAGTGTAGCCTAAATGCAGTCACTTCAGGTTGAGCTACTGTGCCACCTTTGCAGAGTAAATATTTCTGTGGATTCTGATTTCATTTTATTTGTAAAAGCCTATTTTGGTGTCATTACTGAATTGGTTAATTTGAAAAGGTGTATATATTTATTTTTTGAAAACTGCCCTTTTAAAACGCCTCTGGAAATCAATTTAAGGGGGCCAACCTGTTTTTAAGGCGTATCACTGTAATAATGGTGACTACACATATAATCTTTATTATTATTGTAAATTTTTGTTACACATCTTTGGCTAGGTGTTGATGAAGAGGTTACTGAAGTGATATAGGAGAATGAATGAAAACCAACCTGTTTGTTCCTCAGTATCTTCTCGTTTGACTCTCAATGTTTCTTCAATCTTCACGTCTTCGCTCTCCTCTTTAATAAACGCCATCTTTATAATAGTGTGTCATGTGGATCTCAGCTGCTCCACCAGAAGTTTGTGTTTGGACACTCTGTTATGTTTAAGATGAGAGATAATTAACAGAAAGAAAGAAAAAAATCCAAACTAAACCTCTGGGTGCCTCTGAATCAGCTCCCAGTAGTCAGCACACTAATAAGGGAGTCAGTCAGAGTTAAAGTTAATGGCCTGATTAGCCAAAAAACACTCTAAACTAGCACTAGATTTGTAGGTTACAATTAAATGGATTGCATTTTTGTGAAAACATAGCAGTTTATAAAAGTTGTCATTACATCACTGATCTATAATAGAGAACTGGACTGCTCATGACTTCATAAAAGTGAAGCCATTATGCATTACTCATGTTTGTGTTCGTTGTTCTCGTTGCATTTACACTGCATTGACCAACCCCTTCCCTTTGTCCAAATACCCACACTTGCGGTCTTGGACAGGAGGTAAGTGTGCAAGTCTGTCCCATGTCTTCAAAATGCCAAAGTGCAGTGCCCTTAACAGACACTAAATCCACACTATCTCGAATACCGCTCCAGAGCGCTATTCAAGGCTAAGTGTATCCCATCATGCATCATGTTCTGGAAATAAATCGTGAGACTTTTTGCCGAGATCTCGCGTGAGGTCACGGAAACCTTTCCAATGTAAGTTAAATATTAATATAATAATTAGATATTACATATAAATTGGTAGAAAAACTGTGTTTTCACTTTTATTGGTGCAAAGACGAGTTGTGGTGATATTTACTTTGTACAACATTTGCAACTGCTTTTTATCATTTAATTAGAAGTGCCACGAATTAAAATTATGTCATGTTATAGGGACTACTGGACAGACATTTAGAAGTTGATTTTTAAATGCAAAGTATGTCAAATTAAAATAAAGCTGTGTAAACACTTGCATTTTTACAACACTATAAGTGTGTCCCATCAGGTAATGAAAAGTTTGACACACACTTGTGGTCTTCACATCCACTTGAAGACTTCGGCCAAATACAGGAAATACGTCATTTAAGTAATCAAGCGGTCAAGTGCAAAGACTGCAAGTGTGGGTATCTGGACAAAGCCCTTGGCCACACAAGTGTGTGTATTTGGACAAGGCACAAGCATGTCTCCTCAGAGTTCGGCGATTCGAATCAGTGAATCATTTCATTAAACTGATTCAATTGACTCGTGGTTTCGAAAAGCTCCGTTTCTCCATCACTACATAGAAGTGAGACCGAATTCGTGTTTACACTACGGATTCACGATACGGGGTACGAAATGAGACGCACCTTTTCTGTTGCTAATGTGTTTACTTTAACACTTTACTCATAAAAATTTTTTTGTTGCACTTTACTCATAAAAAACAACGTTCATTAATGTTAGATAAAGTATTTCAATGTTACATTGAATAATAATTAATTAAGCCATTTAACGTCGCTTGTAAAAAGCAAAATTGCCTGAACGGGTTTCACTGATTTAAACATTTGAAATGTGTGTGAAAACTCAAACCGTTCTTCAGCCGAATCACAAGAGATGCAGGAGCGCGGCGCAGGCGAATGACGTCATAACGCCAGAACCAAATAAATGTCATGTTCACGTGCTGCTGCCTAAAGTCAGAAGAGGGCAAATATTGCACATATTTACTTCTAATGAAAGAGGTCGAGTTAAAAGGCAAAACGGTCATGTTTGGGTTCAGAACCCATTTATAATAGATATAAATTGGAATAAAATGCAAAAAGTAACTGTGATTTACAATGTTATAAAAAGAGTGTTAAAGGGATAGTTCACCCAAACATAAAAATTCTGTCATCATTTACTCACCCTCATGTCGTTCCAAACCTGTATGAGTTGCTTTCTTATGTCGAACATAAAAGAAGATATTTTGAAGATTGCTGGTAATCAAACAGTTGGTGGTTGCCATTTGACCATAGTATTTTTTTTCCTACTATTGAAGTCAATGGCAGCCACCAACTATTTGATTACCAGCAATCTTCAAAATATCTTCTTTTATGTTCGACATAAGATAGCAACTCATACAGGTTTGGAACGACATGAGGGTGAGTAAATGATGACAGCATTTTCATTTTTGGGTGAACTATCTCTAAGCAGAGAACATATTTGTGTCAGTATTAAACGTTTTTCTAATACTAAGTGGACATATAAAGTTTGAGATTCTAAGTCTAAGATTGTTGTAAATGTCATAAATAATTATCTTTCAAGAATCAGTAGAAGATACCCTGATAGCACACATACCTCGGAGACGTCTATTTGATGTCTGCATTTACATCTGGAAGACGTACTTTTTAGAGTGTTTGCTCATCTGCAATACGTCTATAGGACGTTTCCTTTTAGATGTCAAATAGACGTCTATTAGATGTCTTTAAGATGTTTATGATTTAGAATGTATGTAAAACTGACATCTGAAAGATGTTTGTCCACAGCAGATGCTTTCCAGATCAAGAGATCTTTAACAGACATCTTGCAGACGTACATGTGCTATCTGGGATAAGTATAAACGGAATATAAATTTGACATAATTGTTTGATCAATACAAAAACAAAACGGTTCGTTTATTTATTGAAAGGTTCAGTCTAATAACAAATGGAATATTTGACAGATTCTTAAAGAAATCAATAGTATGTCAAGTCTTCAATGTCAAAGGCCATTTGTATGAGTTGCTGCCTATGTAGTGATTCAGATCGCTCACTAATGAGTGAACAGACACATTTTACACCTGCTGAACTTTACAGAAAAACCTCTGCAGTCTTCCTAATAAAAAATGAAATTTTCATTCATGTTAATTAATTTACAGGACAATCTGCAGCTGAAGACACACACGAAGACGATGTGATGGGTGAAGGTGAGGAGAGAGGAAAAGAAGAACAGGTGAGATGATGAAGACGACGACGACAGCTGTACAGTAGGTTGCATGTTCAAATCCGCCAGTTAAATACATTTTCCATTTCTAAAATAACATTTTTGTTTGTTTGCTTATAGAAAAATCACTTTTTTAGTTTTTAAATATAGATATCAATATATTGATAATGCATTGTATTGTTGTGTTTTCCTGAAAAGTATTGTTAAGATGTCATTCATTCAAGTGGCAAACACATCAGATGAACTGTAAAAAAAATATTGTTATTGTTAACTGTGTTTGGGTTCATTTTGACTGAGATCATCAGTTGTAAGTAACACTGTTTTCCAGGGATGCTCCGATCAGGATTTTTGCAGCCGATACTGAGTACCGATTTCTTGTCATGGTGATCGGCCGATACCGATGCCGATTCTGATGCTTCAAGCTTTATATAGACGGTTTCACCTAGCCCGAAGTTAACGTCCGGTCTGTGTTTGTTTATCAGTCTGGCTGTGGCGCCGGCTACAAACAGTTAAAGTTAAGGTGATGAGTAGACTGAAGTTGGGCTCAGGTGGATGTGGTGTGGGATTTGTTTCCCATACATTTATTTATTTGCAGTGTTGGGGGTAACGCATTACAAGTAACGCGAGTTACGTAATCAGATTACTTTTCCCAAGTAACTAGTAAAGTAACATTACTTTTTAATTTACAAGAGAATATCTGAGTTACTTTTTCAAATAAGTAACGCAAGTTACTTTTTTTTTTCAATTTATTGATTGACAGCTCTCCTGTCCCCATGTTGAGAGAAATCAGAAGATGCTACTGTAGATCTAAAATAAATATGAATATGCATTAATTCATTTCATCTCACATAAAAAACACAGATTCAGTATTCCTCAAAATGAATAAAAATAATGCAACTCAGAATATGACGCAAACCTGCAATAATTAAATGTTAAACAACACAAATATCCTTTTATGCATTTAATCCCATTCTATTAACCAGTGTCTTTGTTTCTGACCTTCGATGATCCAGTTCAACCGTACTAATAAGCACAAATTAGTCTTTATTATTGCTGAAGTGTGTTGAAATTTCTTCTTCTGCATTCTACTGTACGGACGTAAATGTACATTTCCTTCAGCCTGAGGCTTATTCATTTCACTTTTGGTGTGAGAAGGCTTTTATATTTGCCAAAAATAGAACTTTTATATTTTAAAAACAAACAAGCAAGTCCTGTCCAGATTTAAAAAGTAACGCAAAAGTAATGTAACATTACTTTCCATAAAAAGTAACCAAGTAACGTAATTAGTTACTTTTTTATGGAGTAACGCAATATCGTAATGCATTACTTTTAAAAGTAACTTTCCCCAACACTGTTTATTTGTGGCGCTCGCCACAATATCAAAACTGACCGATTTTCCAAAAGGCTTCGTTCAAAAAACATGAGCACGTACGGCACGTGTTTTCATGAGGCAGACAATTTTGCGCACGTGTTCGTTCGCCTGATCGGGAAGTGGCAGTGACAGAAACGGTGACATTCCAGATAAAGTTTGAAAGGAGCAAAGCCTGTGTTAGTGCTATTGAGTAGGCTAATAAGGCCAAAGAAGATATTTTGAAAGCAGTTTGAAATTACATTTAAAAGCAGCCTACGATCAGCGATACGGCTCAGACGAGGTTTTGTTCCGTCCTCTATGCTGTGCCAACTCACAAAAGAGAGAAACATGCCGCGGCTGGCTGATAAACACAAGCACTGACTAGAGCGGCCGCGATCACCTCCGGTTCCCGTGGAGAAGTAACGCGCCGCAGACTTGTGCAGAATTTTTAATTGTTTCTCGAACCGTCATAGCATTTCCACACCGGCGATGACATGACTGTGGCTTAAAATCATTTACGTCCCCACGCATCATGTACGTGGTCAGGTGTTGACGTCATCAAATTGCGATCGGTTCGTGAGATCGGCCAAATAAACTGAAATAAAACCGATCGAGTTATGAAATGTGATTATCGGCCGATACTGATCTCTGGCCGATCGATCGGAGCATCCCTACGGTTTTCCATATGTTCATATTTTATGCTTTATCCTGTTAACTTTCATGACTCTTTTTGATCGTAGACGTAAAATACAAACTTAAATAGTTGTAATTCATGAAAGCTTTGGAATACGGAATACACAAATCTAAGCCATACATTGTTTTTAGGATGAAGTTTCTGTGAGACGGATAGCTTCTGCATCATAAGATACCAGCAAGTGACACTCACAATCCACAAGACACTTCCCTAACCATAGGATCTGACAGTTACATAACCGCAACGTAATTTGATGACCAAACTTTTGTTGTGGCAACATCAACCGGATAGGCCTAAATGGGTTGCCACATCAGGATTCTTCAGTGTTGACGTCATCAAATTGCGATCGGTTCGTGAGATCGGCCAAATAAACTGAAATAAAACCGATCGAGTTATGAAATGTGATTATCGGCCGATACTGATCTCTGGCCGATCGATCGGAGCATCCCTACGGTTTTCCATATGTTCATATTTTATGCTTTATCCTGTTAAC